TTAAATTTGTTAAAATTATTAATGGAAAATAAAATATTTATTAATAAAAATAATTTTAAACGTATACTTGTAAAAATTATTGATTTCTAATATATATATATATATATATATATATATATATATATATATATATATATATATATATATATATATATATATATATATATATATATATATATATATATATATATATATAGAGTCTCGTTCAGGTGTGAACATTGCTTAAGATGTGAACGTGTGAATTATTTTCGACCGTTCCTTTTTTTACTGATGGACGGTTGTGAGCTTGGGTGTAGGCCTTACGATGTGCATGCTTCGCACTGTATCTCTTTTTCTGTGGGTGGGTTTTGGTGCGATACTCCTGTTCACCGTACACATCTGGTCCGTCTCATCCAAATTTCCGTCCTAGGACTTTTCCACTCCAACTCTACTCTGTCGATCAATTCTCCAATTCCAGCTCATGGCGAGGTCGGATGGTGATCGCTGGTCGAAGCGGGGTACGAGCGGCCATCAATTAACGCCCGCGACCCCTCCTGCTACCAATAGCCTTAGGATAGGGTATGCGTCGCGGCCCTTTAAACGAAGGCTTCGCCGTCGTGTTTCTAGCTCCGGTGGACGGGACGATGTCGGTCGGAAGGCGTCAGGGATAGCAGCGAGGGTTGCTGCACGGAGGAGGGCGAATCAATGGGGGGGGGGGGGGGGGCAAAAAGGTTAGTTCTGCGTGGGGGGGGGGGTGGTTCTGAGTGTGTTTGCCCTATTGGGGGTCGTTTAGACAGTTAATTCCCTCTTGATTTCAAGGTGATAAACACCTGAAAGAAACCATTTATGTATTTTAGATTAGAAATATTGTCAAGAATAATAAAATGCAGAATATTGTTCTATGGCAGTCATATGTTTCCATTTACCATAAACATATATATATATTTTATATAGGGCTTAGGGCCTTCTACTGATATTATTATTTCTTTCCTTATCAAGAAGAATACTTCCTAATTTAAGAGAGGAAAAGGTTTAATTAGTCAAAGTTGATATTCAGACCTCTTGAATAGACTGTAGAGTCTGCAACATGTATTCCTTGATTTATGGATGGATATGCATATTGTTATTGTATTGTTAAAAAATGTACACCAGTGATGCCATGTTTTAAATTAAAAGTACCTGAGTGCAGTGGTTTGCATTCCTGTTAAAATAGCCGAGTGCAGTACTAGTCTTCGGGCTTTTAGTTGTTATTAGTTTTCAGATTTACCATATCTAGTAATGCAATTATATTTACTATGGCCTTTACATTGCTTAGAGGTCTACAGTTTTGATACTATGCCATTATTGTTTAAATGTAATTTGCTGACTTTGTATTATCAAAAATAGTGATGCAAGTTTGTTTAATAGGTTGGATATCAACTCCAGTGGTGCTCATGGGCAGTGTTTGTTCTGTGCAGGCTATAATAACCAGCAGCCAGTTCTGCTAAGTGATGATGGGAGCGGTTCAAATGATGAGTTCCATACCCCACTGCTAGTATTGGACGGGGGCGTGGTGTGCGGGGTAACACGTGTGGAGCGTTCAAGCAAAGGCCAGTTCAACGCGCTGGGATCGCCGAAGGATCTTGCAAACCTTGTGCAAGCTCTAACTCCAATTGAGCCCGGGGATAATGTGGTAAGCATTCCAATTGAGCCCTATGTGGCCGTTATAAGATTATGTATGTCTTAGACAGTTTCCCTTTTTGCTATGTTATATGTTGTCTGTTGTGTTGGGTGGTGGTGCAGGGGGTTGGCCATAGGCGTTCAGAAATCACTGGTGAGCTGATTTCGGTCACTACGCGAGTTGTTGGCCTGTTTTCCCAGCACCCCAGTAGAGCTTTGGAAGAATGCGATTACCAGAGGGTCGTGGACTCGATCAAAATGTTGGAAAGGGTTGTTTAGAGGCCAGCACCGCCAGTTCCTATTCTGTCACCGGTTAGTAACGAAGAATCGTTATGGTTCGATGCAGACTTTCTAAGGGAGCTGGATCAAGCCGAGTTGGCTGCAACCAGGGCCATTGGCATGTCCGATGTGCCTAGTTTTAGTCTAGGGCTGACTCAGGAGTTTGCAAGAGTAGGGCAGGCGGCCAAGAAGGGCAATCAGGCGGATACTGTTGCACCACCGTTGTTGCAGGTAGACTGCGTTCATATGGTAGAGGTACTGTAAGTTCTGTTGCTAATTCTTTACACAAACATACGTAGGCACCAGCCCCGCGGGGGGTAGACGGGACAAATCACAAAGGGAAGGAACCACTTGTGGAGTTTGCAAGGCCGGTGCAGGCGGACAAGAAGGGCAATCAGATGGACACCGTTGCACCACCAACGCTGCAGGTAGATTGTGTTCATATGTCTTAGGTATTGGTTGTTCTGAGGCTAATGCTTTACACGAACATATGTAGGCACCAGCTCGGCCACAACGTGTGGGACTCACAACGCAGTTTGCTGCACCATGCATAGCCACTCGGCGGGTAGACGGGGCAAATCATAAAGGGAAGGAACCACTTGTTATGCACGACCAATCTGCTGGCATTTTCTTCGACACCACATATGGGTACCCATCTATTCCGCTGCCGCACGTGTATGTTGTGTGGATGTGGGTATTTAGGTGCTCCCAGGGGGACCGGTAAGTGGTTTTAATGCATCTGCACTCTCGGGGGGGGGGGGTGTGGGTGGGGTTGGGGTGTTTGTAAATTTATGCGTATAATATTCACACGTTTTCATTATGGCTTTTGGTTTGTAGCAACGAGGTCCTATTCCAACACGGTGACCGGACGGTCAAGTGGGCACAAATGCAAACGTTGAGGGAGGTGACGGTTCTGTCTAAGACTGTAGTCGATGCTTGGTGTTGTGTCATGAATGCCCGGGAGGCAGCTAACAGTGCTGGTGACCTGACCCGCTTGTTTTTACCGACCAGCACGACGGTAAGCATCTTGGTGCACACCCATGACTTTGTGGATTTCAAACTCAAACTAATTACTGCTTGTGCTATGCAGATTGGGACTGTGGTTGGCGTCTCATCGAGCGAGGAGGAGAGGGTGGCTTGGTTCGAGAAGCACATGGACGGGGTGTTGCAAAGTATAGGACGTCGGGGGACGGCCGACATAGATTTGGTGAGTTTCCCTGCTCGGTAAAATAATTGCCACACCGCCTACCGCCCATGTTTTAATAATCGTTTAAAATGGCAATGCAGTTCATTTTCCCGATTTTTGACAATGGCACATACTACATGATGGCCATTAACTTCAAGCATTACCGTTTTGACATCATCGACAGCTCGTCGGCGAAGAAGCCTAACAAAGAAATGTATCGTGGCGCTCCGGAGGAGCTGGTATGTGTCTCTATTCTCCGAAATATATGTTCACGCCCTAGCGTTTTATGCCGGCTATGTGTGCTGCAAATTTCTGCAAATTATTAGCGTTCACAGTTGTGAGCGATTTAATGGATTATTATTAAGTTCGTTACTCTGCGAATTTGATTTTATTCCTCTGTGTTTTACGGTACGTTGGTGTATAATTTTCTGCTTTTAAATCTATTAGATTAGTGTTAGAAATATAGGTATGTTTTTTTAATTTGTTTCATTCATTTTGGAAGTTTAGCTTTATTTTTAGCTTAAATTTTTGATGTACTGGGTGGAAACTATGCATGATGCATTTTTCTTAAGTGCAAACTCTGTTTAGTTCTCATATGTTCGCCTTCTGTACACTGTTTGCACTTTAAGTGCTGTCATTTGTTATCCATAAATATATTAAAGGGGTGTGTTCGGTTTTCGGTGATTATTGGTGCAGATAACATGCCTTGCTGGTTTCTTGGACTCTAACCTCCAGCCTCTTCGCGCTGCACGCCTTGAAAACATGAAACCCAAGAGGATGCAGATGGCGTGGAGGGATACGACTTCTACGTCGGATTCCGGGGTTTTCACGATGCGGCACATGGAGGCTTTTTTTGGGGAGGGGTGCGCGAGCTGGGACACTGGCCTGCAGCGGGGTAATGCCGCGCAACTAGTCAATCTACGCAAACGATACATGCATAATATACTACTAAGCGTGGCCAATACTCATGCACGCAGCATTGGGGCGCGCGCATCGGAGTTTGAGCGCCGAAGATTAGCACAGATGCTCGGTGGCCACGGCAGCCACCACAATGATGGAGCGTCAGTATGGACTGGTTAGCCATGAATAAGTTACGTATGCAATAGTCCTCGTAGCCAGTGGTTTGTAGTGTTGACACCACAATAATAGCGTATTTAAAATTCAGGCATATTTAAATTAGCTTAGTCAATTGGTTCGTTGTCCATAATCCAATGGGATATCACATTAATAGTTTAATAATTTCGGGTAGCATTAAAAGTTATCTAGATATAATTATTTACGAGTTTTGTGTATGCTTTTCTGGTTTACTGAGCACGGTCAATTTTTACGCGCAAACCATTAGCACAATTTTGCTCCTTTTTGGGCTACGAGTTTTGTGTATTGGTGTCCGTTTAAAAAAAAAATGGCCAGCAATATTCCTGTTAATATGGTGTTATTTTTCTGGTTAATTGCTCACATCAACTCGCACCAAAATAAACCCAGTTGCTCACACGCCCATACCAACATCAGGTAACCCAATTTTTAAAAAAGAAACAGGAGACAACCCCATGTATGCACCCATGTCCCCCTCAGCTGCTACCAGTCTGGTAAATTCTCATGCCATATTAACAATTAAATTGGTAATAGCTGAACACAACACAACAGTCTCAACACTAAATTATAGGATAAACACCATTCACCGATGAAAAATAATTAACAATTAAGTTGGTAAAAGCTAAGCACAACAATCTCAATACTAAATTATAGGGTAAACATCATTGACTAATGGGAAATAAACCAATTGAAAATAATTAACAATTCAGATCGAAAAAGCTAAGCATAATAGTCTCAATACTAAATTATAGTGCAAATATCATTGACTAATGGAAAATAAAACACGACCCAAAACACTACCATATTACTTGTGAGGGCAACTACGTGCGTTATGGTGGGCATACTTCCCACAAATCCCACATTTTCGTCCAGTTTTGACATTCTTCTCAATGGCAAGCTCTCGGCTGCTCTTAATACGCTTCCCAGTACCTTTATTTTTTGCTTGTGCGGGGGCCTTGATCGTTATGGATTGTGGTGCTTGCACACCGCATAATGCCTGAATGGCGCCACGATTACCCTTAATAGGTTCCCCAGTATTACCATCGCTTGCAAATTCCACCGTAAGACTCTTCAGTACATCGATAAAACGTGCTTGTCGCTCCGTGTTACTGCCCACCAACCCAACACACGTGTTAATCTCAGCCCAAAGTTGTGTCGCTCCACATGTTGACCCGTTTGCAACGGATAACTGACCACTGCATGCACCGCAGGCTAGATGTTTGCACCATCGGGTCACAATGTATTGGGACGGCAACTGCTCAAGCTGTGCGTCTCGGAACACTAGGAACATATGCCTGCAGACTAGACCCATTCTTTCAAACAACTTGCAGGTGCACGATGCACTGAGCCCCTTCGGATCGTGGTGTACGCTGAAAATTGTGTCACACTCGCCTCGGATGTCGTAATAGATGCTCCCCCCGTCCTCGCGAACTCCTACAACCCGGGAGTAAAAGCAGGCAGCTTCGATCTCTTTCTGCAGCTCATAAAAAATAGTTATCGTGAATAGCTGTGCAACATGCCGCTCGAGTGCTAAAGGTGTTTTGAATTCTGGTAGGTATCCCTCACACTCTGCATTCAATTTTGCTTGCCTGTAGCGTTGCGTTTCAAGGACACTCTCGTATTGCATGTAGAACTCTACCAGACTCGAATGAAGGCGTGTGAATTTTCCGTACACACTGTTTTCTGCTTCCGAACGAGATGTGGTACGTACCAACCCGCTCAATGGCAAATCTGTAAAATAAGCCGGGATCCAGCTCTCCCGTTCTGCGTACAGTTTGCAAAACCACCGATGGGTTGTCAGATTGTACTCATCCATTAATAGGTTTCATTGTACCTCAAATTCAGCACTAGTGATTCTCTCATTCCATACGATAGCATTTAATTTGTTGCGAAACTTCTCGTCTTTAGCTAACTCATTCCCGATTTTTTCCGGGACCTTGGTCATGATGTGCCACATGCAGAAGCGATGACGGCTCCCTGGTAAAACTTCTTCGATAGCAACTCTCAAAGCAGGGTCTTGGTCGGTCACAACACACAATGGGGTCTTTCCCATTGCGCATTTAAATCTCTCCAATAGCCAACTGTATGAGTCCACATCCTCCTTAGTGAGCAAACCGGCCCCGAAAGTGATGCATCGTTTGTGGTTGTTAACCCCGGTGAATGGCACGAACACCATACTATACCTGAACAATAAAACGGTATGCATAATCGGTTAACCATATCAGTAGAATATTTGTCGTGATTATAGCACTCCTTAAATATTTATTTATTCCATACGATTAGTCCATATCCCATACACACCATTGATACATTATTGGGTATAATTCCACTGGTTATAACTCTTGCAATTCAATTTTATTTAGGGGAGGCAAATCAAACTTATTACACCTACTGCACACAAACTTATGACACTAGAAAATGCCATTCATTCTTTTGCAGACAATAAATTAACCAAAGCAATAAAAATCATAATGATGCCACACACAATAATTTGGTGAAGATCGAAATGGTTGATTTCTTTATTGCATAAAATTATTCTGTGCAGGCTCAAATTCTCTGCCATGTGTTTATATGATCTTTAGAGTGGTTTCTTTGTGGCACATTTACCGTTTTGATTGCTAATGCTGGTTCTTAATTTTTTTTGCTTGTTTCTTTTGGGCACACTGTTATAACGATTGATTTTGTACACTGTATAATACACAGAATGGAAGTCATGCACAACACCCAAATAAACCACGGATAGATAAACCAGGGTAAGCATCATACCTGTTTGTGCCGTAAGTTGCGTCGAACGAAATAGTATCACCGTAGCAAGAAAATGCGCGCCTGCCGCTGGGGTCAGCCCAAAAAAGTCGTGCTAGTCGATCGTCTTCGTCGAGCTGGTAATCAAAATAGAAGTCACTACACACTTCATGCTTCGCTTTGAACTTCTCAATGATCATCTCGCCATCACCGACTTCGACGTAAGTTTGGAGGTCACGTTTAAAATTGTGGAACTCTACGTCGGTTGCACCCACGTTCCCGTAGGAACCTGCCACCTCCTTGCAAAACCGCAAGCCTGTCGATGCCCCGATATTGGTCTTAACACAGTTTGCTAGGAATGCTTGTTGGGATACATTCAACTGCCGGTTAATCCGCATAAACATTTTAGAAGGTTCAGAGCACAGTTTGTGGCTATGTTCTTCTACAAAAACAGTCACGATGAAATCCCCAGAACGTTTCTTCCTCAAGTAGATCTTGGCCTTGCAATTGACTCTGTTAGAAATCCTTCGACGGCGCTCCCTGTTCTTTCCTCTACCAACATCACGGTCTGGAAGCCGGTTAATCCTCCCACCACCTCTGATCCCTTGCCGGCTACACAGTAAATAGCGCATGAATATGACCCCATCTCTGTCTCGCTTCAATGTCCCCTGGCGAACGTCAAAGCCACTTATTCGAGCGTAGTTCATGTAGAATTCGATACCTTCTTCTAGTGTTCTAAACTTGCGTCCAACTACGGGCAAAATTGAATCATCCACGTTGGGCTTCCACTGGAGCGAATGTGAAGTCGCCAACCCCACCGCACCGGGCGCGGCAACATCTGCTACTGGCAACATCTCTGTGGCACCTACAGTAGTCAAATCCAAAAGTTAGGAAAAATAAAATGCACTCGCACGGCGGTACGCAAATCATCACGCCGTCCAAGCCAAACGGCCGCATGCAATATAGGATCGGTAGGCGCATACAACCTGTTGAACAACCGGTGTCTTCATCATCCATCGTCAACGTCCCTCCTTGGCCTCCGACAGTGCACGAACCGACCATCCTGAGTATAAGGGGGAGAATTACGCACGAACCCGTACAAGAAAAAAGACTTAGCGGGTTAGGACTCTTTTTAAACGCAATATAAAGGGATTACGTAAAACACCAGGGTACTACGTGTGGCAAGGTGCACTGCAGTCAGATGCGACATAATCTTTCTGACCGTCGGACTCATTAAATCAATGCACCATAATGATCCACAAATTCACACGGTTAATAAGGTGTGCACCAGAAAATTACCCTCTATATATATATATATATATATATATATATATATATATATATATATATATATATATATATATATATATATATATATATATATATATATGAGATTACCTGTTTGTGAGATTGTGAGATTAAATCTTGTGTATCGATCTAATTAATTTTAATGGTCTAGATTAAGTGTGTGCGAACACGATTAAATGTATGCAAATGCAATTGATCTAGATTAATCTAAGTGACATTGTGAGATCAAATCTTGTGCATCAATTTAATAAATTTAATAATCTAGATTGATCTAGATTAAGTGTGTGCGAATGCGATTAAATGTGTGCGAACACGATTAATCTAAATTGATCTAGACCATTAAATTTATTAGATTGATGCACAATATTTAATCTCACAATCTCACCTAAATAAGGAAAGTAATTCAAATATATAAGCCAATAATTTTGAGATATAAAATTAATATATTAACATATATATATATATATATATATATATATATATATATACTAAATCCGTAGACCTCTACTTCCCGGATGCATTCAACTTTGGGCATTGATTCAGTTTCTTCATCACTTACAATTCTAACTCTCTCTTAAAATATAATAATAATAATAATAATAATAATAATAACAACAATAACAATAATAATTATAATGTTTAAATTTATTATTAAATAATATAAGAAAACGTACAAAAAATGGCTAAAAGTTAGAGAAAATATGTAATGAATAATTGTTTTTTTTTTTTTTGAAAACATGTAATGAATAATTGTTAAAAGCATTGCAACATTTGAAATCATGCCATTACTATTTGAATCTCAAAAATTAAAAAGATAAGATGAAAATTTGACTTGGATCTCCACGTCAAATTGCAGTGGATCCATTTCAGGGATGAAGGCTACTTTAATCCTCCTCTTTAAAAAGAAGATCAAATGTACTAATATTACAATAATCGGGTACTGAATATGCAATTTGCTCACAATTTCATCTGTAATCTAACACCCTACTCCCTATCCACATAATCCACATAATTTCTCATTCTTTCGTTAGGATGGTGTTTCAAGTCAAAGCCCGTTACAAATATAATTTCTTATTGGTCTTCCCTGACTCCTAAAAAGTAATTGCTCACATAATTTTCTCCGTTTACAACATCATATTTTGCTCATTCCAATGTCAAATGATGTGGATGCAATAATGACTACAATTCTAAATTCTGATAATTATTTAATCAAATTGCAGTGATTGGATTCAATATTTATCGATAACATTAATTAAAATCTTTGGAATTTAAATTTTAAATTATTCGTTTTTATAAATTGTATTATGCTTATTTAGTTTTGGACCCATAGATATTGGGAATTGGTACTTGTTGATTAAATTAAGTAACCGTTTTTTAATAAAAAGGGTAATTATAACTTTAACCGGCTAAGAGCTTTGTGCCTAAACTTAGTATTTTATAAGTATTGAATCAATTTACGATTTGTAGCGTAATATAATTATAAAAGATTACATGCCTATATATTATGTGGTAGTACTCACTATTTTATACATGTAGAGTGATTAGTGATATGATATGAGTTTGAATTGCATGTCATGGTCATGCTCTACTACCTTTTGTTGGGTATTTGGTCTTTACCATGTTGAGATCACTATGACTGAACACATGTCACAAAATTTATATTTTGTCTAATTATGGTTAGATCATATTAGATTGTCTCAACATTTCACCTCTATTGTGTAATAAATTAATTATTAATATATGTGTTATTGTGCGCACTCATTCAAATATTGAGTCTGTTTGACAGAGTTTATTTAGGAGCTTATAGTTCATTTTAAGCTATTAATAAGCTATAAACCCTGTTTAGAAATGTTTCCAAAATAAATTCGTAGCTGCTATAAATCCTGTTTGAAAATGTTCTCAAAATAAGTTCATAGCTTAAAATAATAGCTTATTTTGGAACGCTACCTTAGGTAGCGTTTCGACATAAGCTTGTAGCATTATAATCCCAAGAATACTTATTGTTTTGATAAAATAAAAATAATCCATGCTAAATAACTTGAAAATTGTGTTATTAATTTACATATTGGTCCAAAGGCTTTAAATTACAACCTCCAAAACCAAATTTTGTAAATTGTATGTACAATTACATTCGAAGTCTTCAAAATGCATAAAATTACATTTGAACCCTTAAAAAAATTATATGGAAAATTGCATTCAAACCCATTAATATATAGAACTTTTTAGATTAAAATAGGAATGTAATTTAGGCCTTGGATAAGTTGGATTACGCCATGCTGACTCACGTGAGGGGTATGCCATAATGCCAATTTAATGACAGTAAATTATTTAGGGCCCGATATATCATATATAAGGTAATTATATTATTAAAATTTAATTGTCTCAACTTTTTGTACTAAATTTACATAAAGACAGATCATTTTAGTATATAATCAAATTATGATATATTTCATTTATAAAATTACCTTTTAAAACTCTGGTATATTTTATTTTTACCTTTTACATCATATTTATTTCACTTCTATAAGGAATGGAATAGACAATAAATATAATATAAATTCTATTATATTGTTTGGTTCGGTGAAATAATAGATTGTAGTAATAATATTTCAGTGTTTGTTTGATTTAAAGAATATTTAATGAAATAAGTTACAAAAGACATAAGTATTCTCTACTGAATAATAATAATAATAATAATAATAATAATAATAATAATAATAATAATAATAATAATAATAATAATAATAATAATAATAATAATAATAATAATAATAATAATAATAATAATAATAATAATAATAATAATAATAATAAGTTCTTGTTTGATTAATTTGTGGTCTGTCAACTAATTCGTAGTCAATGAGTATAAATAATTATATTTGTGGGATTTTTCCTTTGTATTTGATTATTAAATAAGTTTTTTCTTTTACTCATTTGATTAATGTGTCCGAGTGGTCGCTTTAAGAGTTAATGAATATACATAGTTTCTATTTTGAAGATTAATTATTAATGTTCTTTCTTTAATATGACAATTGATGGGTCAATCAAATATTAGCCAATCCTGCCACGAGTTAATTATATTATATAAACATTGTAATAAAATGAGTCGATATACTAATAAAATGTAATAATAAAAGAAAGACAATAATGATGCATCACAAAATGAATATTAAAATTACTTGTAAAGAATGTCGCCGAAGGCGCTAGGCTCTAGTCGCGTGCATCCTAGGTGGTCGAGTAATTCAAGTACATTGTTTCTATTTTTTTCATTCAAGACTATTGGTTGTTAAACTGTTATAATCTTGCAAACTAGTAAACTATATATGTTAGATGGTTAGTTGAATACATGATCAGAGAAATACAGAAGATGAGTAATTGAGCAGGCAAAAAAAATCACTCAACCGAGTTGAGTGCTGACTCGGTCAAGTTGGGTGCCCAACTCGGCACCTAAGACGCCTAGTAGGCCAACTAAAAGACGCCTAAGGTTGAAATTGTCTCAACTTAAGGGAGCCTAGTGCCTAGTCGACACATATGTCGATTTTTACAACACTACTTGTAAGAGATAAATCTTCGAATTTGCCTCAACCTAATGTAACATGACTTTCTAATTTTTTTTTTTTTTTATGTGACGAAAAAAATCTGCAACGATTACTCTATGGTATGCATAGGATAAATCCCATAATCATTTTAATATTTAGAGCAAGTAACAAGTAATTACTCTATTTACTTATATTAATAAATTGTACAATATGCCATGTAACATGCCAACTAATTATCACTATATAAGTATATATTAAGTCCAACTTTTCTATTATTGGATATGTTGCACTAATATTTGTTCATTTATTAATTTAAAGCCAAATTATAAGTTATAGTCATATTTATCACTCCATTTACAAAGGATAGTATCATATATACCAAATAATTTAATGAAATATTGCATGATGGGATGAGTTTAGTTCAACTAGAGATGATAGGAGTGTTTTCCAATATTAAATAATAAATTAAAATGTAACTAAATGTGTATGTATTTCTAAAAATCAGAATTTAGTTTTTGAAGAGAATATAATAATAATATGGGCATTTGCATTTGGATTTGGCGCACTGCGCAAAGAATATTTGTATATTCATTTTTGCATTTGTTTGGTTTTTGGGGTTGTTTTCTCGTGGCGTCGCGGCGCAATTCCGCCTTGCCGCGGGAATTCCCGACGGGAGAAGAGAGAAAGGGGAAGAAGGAATAGAGATGAATTTGGTTTTGAGTTTAGATACAGAATGTATGTGTAAATATCGACAAAACAAAACCGAAATCGAAATATGATGCCCGGGGGCCTGGGTTTGAAATTACAAGAACAATACGAGAATTCGTTTAGGTAAGGGGGGGAGAAGTGGGGGGTTGGGGAGATGCGGCATTTGTGAAATTCGTCGCCCGTCTCCCAATCGTGGCGTTGCTTTTTCTCATCCAGCATTAATACAAACAGATTATAGGCATCTGGGTTTGGGTTGGGGATTCAACCTTTTGGGAGAAGAAGATTACAGGTATCTATCTGCGCTAAATGCATTCAGGTTTTATCTCTCTCTCTCTCTCTCTCCCTCTCCGTGTATATATATATGTGAGATACATTTCAACGATAAGCTCTCATTCATTCTGATTGCCCCTTTTTCTCTTCACTCTCCTCTCTCTGTCTCTCGTGTCTTCTGTGTTCGCAGCC